CTTGAACCTCTGGAAGTTCTCTGTCAATATACTGCTGCAAACGTTTCTGAATTATCTTCAGTAGATCTTACTTGCGTGCGATATTAATGATATTGTTCTATAATTTCTGCATTCTGTGGGATCACCTTTCTTTGGAATGGGCACAAATATGGATCTCTTCCAGTCTTTTGACTTAGCCTTCACCATTTATTCCCCTATCCGGTCCAATAGAATAAATTTTTCCTTTGAAGTAACTATGACTTTGAACAGGTTCTTCCTAATTCAGTCATAGCCAATGAAGCGAAACTGGAATGGACTCAAATTTGTAAACTGTGGATATACTACCAGACTAATAACTGGAAAGATTCATGCCTGGCTAGAAATTTAATCTCCATGATAGAAAAAAAGGGCAGCGTGTGTGTGTTGCATAGTAGCCAAATCTATTGATGAGTGGCAGAGTTGGAAAACAGCAGCACCCTCTCAAAGATGGTGGCTGATCACTCTGCTTTGAACGTGTATCACTCTCCATAGCCCTGGCAGTAATCTAGTCTCCTGCATCAGGCTCCTGAAAGGACTCACTACAGCTCTTCCAAGTCTTCCATTCCAGGGTTTTGACCCATAATTTTACCCATTCTCCTTATCATTTCACTTCACCCAAATTTTTAAAATTCAAGTCTGTTCTGCATTGACTGTGACTGAATCAGTTTGAACTGGTTTGAAGCCCTAGATGTGACTTTCTTATCTCCTTCTATTACTACTGTTATCCTACTATCCTAGGCCCTTTTCACCTCTCACAGGATTTATAATGCCTTTATTTCTCACCTTGATTATCCCCTCCTCCAGCTTACTGTACTATACTAATCTGAGAACATTCTTTGATATCACCACCTATATAAAGTTGTCTCCTCAGTGATTTCCTGATGCCCACCTTATAAATTCACTCCTAACTCTGAAGTCAAACCTGTCTTTGTGCCAGGTGTCTCCAGTCTTCTTCCTACTACTACCAATAAAGCACTTGTTAGTGCTGTGGAATCTGTTCTGACTCATTGCAACCCCACATGTGCAGAGTAGTTTTGCTCCATAGTGTTTTTAATGCTGTGACCTTTCAGAAGCTGATCACTACACCTGTCTTCTGAGGTATTTAGATAGTCTTATTATGTGCTAAAGGAGCTCTGGTAGCATAGTGCCTGAGGCACTTGACTGCTAACCAGAAGGCTGGTAGTTCAATCCCACCAGCCACTCCTCGGAAGGAAGGTTGGGCAATCTACTTCCGTAGTGATACTGCCTTGGAAACCCAAGGAGGGGTCGCTGTGAGTTGGGGCGACTCGACGGCACATAACAACAACAAGGGAGCTCTGGTGGCGTAGTGCCTGAGGCATCTGACTGCTAACCAGAAGCCTGGTGGTTCAAACCCACCAGCCACTCCTCGGAAGATGGGGCAATCTACTTCCATAGTAATACTGCCTCGGAAACCCAAGGAGGTTCGCTATGAGTTGGGTCCGACTTGATGGCAATGAGTTTGATTTGGTTGGTATATTATGTGCTAAACCCTATGTGGTCAATGCTATTAAGATGCCCATTTTATACATTAGGAAATTGAGGCACAGTGAGATTACATAATTTATTTGAGGTTACACAGTTAATAAGTGGGGAGAGGATTAAATTAGTTAATATGTATATAATATACTAGGCACTGTTAAAAGCACTTCTTTCATCTTACATGTATTTTTTATATATAAGTATTTTTATGTTGTTATAGAGCCTTTAAACTTCTAGTTTTAGTGACTACAGAATGCTCTGCAAAGAGGCTTACCATGGTTTTGCTCTTATTAGTATGTTTAAATTTCATAATACTGCAATAGACTTTTTTTTTCTCAATATTGTACTATGTTTGAGGTGAAAGTTTACACAGCAAATTAGCCAATCTATTATTTGGCTGAAAGGTGACCTCCAAGTTTAGGACAGTAATCTCAGAGGTTCCTCTATTCTCTATTGGTCCAGTAGATCTAGCTTCTTTTTAGGTATTTGAATTTTGTTCTACGTGTTTTCTTCCATTCTATCCAGGACCTTCTGTTGTGTCCTTGGTCACAGCAGTCAGTAGTAGTAGCTGGGCACCATCTAGTTGTTCTGGTTTCAGGATGGATGATGCTGTGGTTCATGTGGACTATTAGTCCTTGCCAGGAAAAGCTTCTTCTCTGAGTCTTTGGTTTCCTTCATTCTCTTTTGCTCTAGACAAGTAGAGACCTGATAGTTTTATCTTAGTTGGCCATACAGTCAAAATCTTCATGCCTGTGCCATGTTGACCTGGGAGTCCTGAAGTTCTGGGAGATTTTAATTCGAGAAAGTTTGAGGTTTGGATCACACTTTATTGTTATGTTAATCTTCTTTTTTAAGCTCTGGCTAGTGAGCCTCTAATATAAGTTTGAAGATGAGATAGCACAGATGATTTCTAGTGTTCTGCCAAAATCTGAATTCAAGATATTACCTCTTTTTTTATTATAGTGATGGGTTGGAGAGCACCCTATCTTTCATGACAGAAGGTGGTTTTTTTTTTTTTTTTTTAATTGTAAAATTCATTTAAATGTGGTTTATAGCAGAAAAATTGAAGGTGACAGGACTTTTTGTGTAATGTGTCTTAAACCTTGTACACTTCTTTCTCAAGTGAGATTTGGAGGGTTTTATTTATGAGTTTCATTAGCATGTTGGGAATTGCCTGTATATGACACTTTTTCAGTCCATGTTATCTCTATCCTCTGAGGTTCTGAGTACCCACATCACTCATTTTGCCATTTATTTATTTATTTATTTTACCAATTCAACAATTTTTCCATGTATAATTCAGTAACACTGATTACATTCTTCCAGTTGTATAGCTATTTTCTCTGTCCCTTTCCAAATTATTCTGCCACCACTAACATAAAGTCACTGCCCTCTAATATTTGCCTTTCCTTTTTTTTTAACTTTTTATTGTGATTTGGGGGCAATTTTATGAAGTGATTCATTTTACATTCAACAGTTCATACACATTTGGTTTTGTGACACTGATTACAATCCCCACAATATAACAGCTCTTCTCCCTGTGGTTATCCCTTCCCTGTGTCCTTCATAAGGAGGTCTGGTGGTATAGTGGTTAAGACATTTGATGGCTGACCAGAGGTCGGGTTCAAACCCACTGGCCGCTCCATGGAAGAATGATGATGCAGTCTGCTTCCATAAAGATTTACAGTCTTAAAACTCTGTGGAGGTTGTTATGAGTCAGAATAGACTGCATGCCAGTGATTTTGGTTTCTGGTTTGTGTCC